AAGTGCTTGTAGTCTATTATGTAGTCAGTCCGTTTATGTAATATTTTGACGTGTGTGTAAGGCGTCACTCTAATTATTATTGATTTTTATGCTAAAAACATTTGTAAAGAAGGGAAATAAGCATTGCACTTTTCTGACAGTGTCACTAACATCTGTCTCCATCGTTTCTTGCTCCTTTTGTATAAGAAATTGTGTTTTTGTGATCAATAAATGTGTCTAAAGTTACACTACAAGATGAACTATTGAAATAATGAAACAAAAGTGTAAAATTATCACTAACCAATGACTGCTTATGTCATTCATTGGACTACATGACTATTTTCATGTATTTGACACAACAAACTCGACCTCTGAGATCATCTTTATTAGAAGAGAGGTAAATCTTGGCAAATAGTGAATATTTTTTTGAATATGGGCAAGGCTCAGAAATACCATCTCAATTGAACTATAAGCTCAAATGATCCTTCAATGCAACTAAATGAAGAAATGAAACTCAAGGCACATCTATGAGCAAGCATGTTTTTTATTCACAAGCGTATATGCAATTTATTGAAAGAAAATGGTAGAACAAACTTCAATTATGGTCAGCCAGTAAAATAAAAAAGGCACTAATATATTGGGACATAATGATTAAGTGCTGAATAAAGGCAACAAAGTAAGATGCCAAAAAGCATATCTATGTATTGTCACACAAAAAAAAAAGCATACATATGTAAATTTCTTTCTTTGAAAAAAAATCCCCCATAGTCGTGTATGTCCTTGTAAAAACTCAGTCCTAATTCGATAGAATGTGCTTCTAGCAATATTTGAATGGCAATACTCATAATAAGAACTAGATAGAATCTGTATAGGAATCAAGGAACATGTCTCTATAACATCTGTTACTGTTGAGAGTATTCCTTCTTGCTCCATTACTGGTTTATGCCAGGGCCAAAAGGAAAATGTTTGAAAAAATGCATAATCAGAGCATTTAAGGAGGCATCTGGACGTCTTCGACAAATAAAAGCCGCAAGGACAGCCATATGAATTCCTCCCTAATAACCAAGGAACAACAAACAAATATTCAGTATTGTCACATAAGCCATAAAAGTTCTACGCTTAAGTACGTACTTGAAGCAAATAATGTAAGTGAGCTCTGCTATATTACAAAAGCACCTATAGTTCCATACATTCCTTGCCCTTTTGCCCATAATTTAAGAAATCTCAGCAGAGATTGGCAGTTTTCTGAAAACGTCTTTTCCACATATCAGAGACCACAAAACCAAAATGGCCCAAGAGGGAATGAAGCAAAACAGCACCAATTAGTTTCTGTCATTGTTCCCCAAATTAGTCAGCAAAAAATTCAGCTGGTTATCAATATATATATATATATATATATATATATTCTGTGTTGCATAGACATAAGTGACAAGAGACAGAAAACTTGATGCCATAAAAGAAAACAGATTGGCATGTATTCAAATCTCCTTGCATGCATTCTTATTCTCAATTGATTTTTACCTTAATGTTTCTGATTAATTGTGAGATAATAAATAATGGAGGTAAAGGAAATTTTTATTAAACAAAGGTCAGAAAAAATGTGAACAATGTCATGGCTGCAAAACTGAACAATTAGTTAAAGATCCAATGACATATTCAGTAGAAAATATTGAGCATTGATGTTCAAGAGTTTATTTACTCTTCACTTATGTAATTGCTCCAAATTAATAAAATCATGTTAACAAAGTTTCATGCTTAACAAATGGCCAAAATAAAGAGTTTCATAATTAAGAACTAAATGTACTCGCATTAAGAATATAATAATGCTTTAAGTCTGGCATATGTAGATCAATGGAAATTCCACCAAACTTAAACAGTATTAGAGGCACTTTTGCACCCTTGACAAAGTGTATCTCAAATATGTCTTCTTTTCAAGCATGTCACCCAGATAAACGAAATGTATGTGATTATGAAGTTAATTTGGGCAGCTTAAAAGGTTAGTTTGAATAAGGTTTGTTTCTTCTAAAGTGTTGCCAAGTCAAGTGTTTGACATACGTTGTCTAATGATAATAGAGAACGTTGCTCTAGCATTTTTGGATTGGATAATGTAGCTTGTCTATATTTGCTTATTTATACACTTATTTCTTCATGCAGTTACTTGTTAATCTATTTATTTAAGTCTTCATTCATTTTTATTTTATTGATTATTTAATAGACCCCTTGTGTCTAATTCGTCGCTTGGCGTATATGAATGCCGTTTAGCGTTCTTGCATAAGAACAACTTTTGCACGTATCCTTCTTCTTTGGCTTTAGTACTTCACCCACTCTGATCAAGACTTGGAGGAATACTCATAGCCATATGCTAATAGGACTTTGACGTCTCATTTTGTCTCCCCCCCCCCCCCGGCCCCCAAATGGTGATAAGCAAGATGATGTATTTTATTTGTGATTGTGGGTGTATTTGATATAAGTATGTAACCATGGTATTCCTCCGCCATTCTAAGTGAGGGCAATTGATAAAATTCAGCGCTAACATTCTCTTTTCCCAACAAAATCTTACTCGTCTAATCCTCAATTTAAGACATTAATCTACTTTATTTTTAATATTTATTCATTTTGTCTCATATAATCTCTATAGTGATTGTATATTTAAAAATTTTTTAGCAAATGGTAGTTCTAATACACATAATTTACAATGATATTTCAAGAAAGACAATACCAATTTATTACAAATAAATAACACAATCTAATTTTTTTTAATATTCACGCATTATTTATATAGCTCTTATATCAAAAAATGGAGGTAATATTTTGATTAGATTAAAAAAATTAGTTAAGTTAGTTATAATTAATATAATATGTTTTTTTTATAATTAATATAATATGTTTTTTTTTGGTAAAATATCCTTGTTTTTGGAATTTACATATTCACAAAGCCTATATAATGATTTTTTGTGCATTTGCAGCTAGTTTATAAAATTTTTTAAAATAATTAAAAATAAATTTCATGCACGAAGAGTGCTTCATGCAAGTCATATTGGGTATCTTGTTCATGATCAATTGGGTTAAAGCATGTAGTTTGAATTGGTCATTAATACCCATTACTTTCATCTTTATGTGTTCGTCTTTAAAGTCATCATTTCAACTAAAAATCGTGATTTTGTAAAAGGTTTTGTTTTTATTTTTTTATTTTTCAAAAAAAACTTGTTTCTTTTATATCGTAAACTCCTTTTACAGAAAATATGATGATGGCTTATGAGACTTGTAAAGCACTCCATGATATACCATGCATAAAAGGTGTTGTACAAATCCCCCAACAAGAAACTTGAGATGTCATTTTGATGATAAAATATTAAATATGTAATGAGAAACTTGAACACCCTAATGATTCTCCTTTGTAAAAGATGACACATCAAATGTTTCCTAAATTTAGTAGTGATCCAAAAAACCTACAACTCGGGACCCTAGACAAAATGAATAAACCTTCATAATTCTCTCATTAGTTGTTGTGTACTTTTTTATTAGTTTAGATTAGTTTAATAGTTTAATTAGTTTAGATTCTATTATTTCCGATCCTTAATATAAGAGCTACTTGACTAATTTGAGTAAATTAAAGAAACTAATTAAGTTAGTTATTTGTAATAAATATGTGTTATTTTTGCTAAAATATCATTGCTAATCAAATATATTAGTTAAAACTATTATTATTACAATGACTAACTTGAAAAAAGATGAATAAATACAAGAAACAAAATAAATTGATCTCATATTTAAGATCAAAATAAAAATCTAACAAATTTTTATATTAAAAATCAGAGATAGTATTGCGTTGAATGATTGTAATTAGGAGCTGTATAAAATGAAATTGGTTCACTGGTTCTGGTACTGCCTACAGATTGATCATTGTATATATTGTGCTGGTTCTGATTTTGTAGCATAGGTGTGGTCTTTAACTGAGAAACAGAAATCATATTTAAATAGCTTATCCTGCATTGGTTATAATCAACCTACATAGAATAAACCATCCACATTGATTCTCTTAGGTAACCTATATAGATAGTGCAAAATCTACATCAATCTTTTAATCAACATAGAAACTATTTGAGAAAAGGATATCCTGATTTGAACTCAATTTTATGTAGTAAAGAACTTCCTGCATCAGTTTTGAAACAAATGCAGAATCAAACGATTAAAAATGTCAAAACCCTCTACATGTGGTCAAACAACCAGTACCCTGAGTCAAGATCACAACAACAACAACAAAGAGGTATTTTTCTTAGCTGTAAATGACCAGAAAAATACCTCTATTTAAAAAAAATTAAAAAAACATAAATAAGTTTTCCAATTTAATAAATAGGCAAATGGAAGCTTAATTGAATCATTGCATAACTCCAAAAATGTTTAAAACATTCAAAATACAATTAATTTCACTATCTATCACATATACTACATCTCATGTATGGCAAAATTCATCAAAAGAGAATTTCCTGTGGTATGATCCTGTCCCACTTTCTTCCACTTGACGAAGTGGTAGTCCCCACCTTGCAACTTGCATCCAAAACTATCAATCTTAGTGTACATAATACTCCCTGGTGGTTCAAAATATAAACTAACCTTCATTGAAGGGTTTTAGTTTTTTCTTTTTTTTGTTTTTTTTAAACAAGATAACATTCATTTTTATTTGAGCATTTAATGAATTTTTTTCAATTTTATCTCATATATTCTCTTTCCTCTTTAATTCATTTATTACATTTTTTACCTATTCCTTTCATTAATAAGGGCATATTCAAAAAAAAAAAAATATGCCTTACATATTTGTTGTTTTAAACTGATTTTAACTAATTTCTTAATAAACATAAATGAATAAAATTTATTTTATATTTTGAACAGGAGGGAGTAATATCTGAAAATGCCATAAAACTCAGCTGTCTTGTTAGGGATAAAAAGGATAATGCCATTAAGTTACAGCATATAAATTCATATCTCCGGTTTAATCAAGGACAGTTCATTCATGGCGATACTAGGAAATTGAAGAAAAACATTCTTGCAGTATGTGAACTAAACATTGGGGGTTTGTGAGGATAAAAATTTGAAAATTGCGCTAATAAGAAGAGAGAACAATTATAAAAGGAGAATGGTTACATGTAAAATAGCGTCCTAGATGAGCATGCCTCCATAAGATATGTTCCAGATGGCTTCCTTTAGCTATATATAGCCATAGAGTACCTGAATAAAATTGTCAACTTTCAGCCATAACTTGGGGCAATTCTTCAGTTCTGGAGGGAGTGTATCATAGGCTTTAACCTACTGTCATCAAAGCATGGCTAATCAGGACGCCATTCAGTTCTACAGCCATACCTTTTCATGGAAGGCACCAGGAAACAGAGAGGTTAAAGAGTAATTAAGGTGCAACATGACTCATTACACTGAATCCGATTTTCAGAACCATTTCAACGGCTTTGTTCAGTGCTGTTCTCCTGATACACCAATCATCCAGATGTGATCCATGACACTTATTGTCTCGCAAATGGAGCAACACTAAGATATGAGGAGTTAGGACCAATTAACCAACTCAATTTCCATTTAGATTTCCTGACTTCGGACGCATACTTTTGCAAATCATCCCAATTTATTTTTATCTCATTCAACATGTAAGTAGTTAGGACCAGTTAACTGGCTAAATTTTAATCCATGGCACAAAGACACGTTATCCAAAATTAGAGGACAGCAGAGTGTATGTTACCACTGATCCTGACAATACTATTAGTTCCATAAAGTGCATCGCAGAGGCATGCTGTGACACCTTTTAAGCTGAAAGGGTTGTGTAGTCGGTATGACTTCTTTGTAATCTTCTTTGTCAAATAAGGAGACCTGCAGCGAGTGATAGAAATGCTGGTCAAATTTTTATCAACACCATAAACATCACTTTTCATGAAATAGAAAAATGTGATACGGTTGCAGTAGTGACCGGTTAATTATTTGTTCTTCCTCATGCCTAAATTGCAACGAGAAGAGTTTGTCATGGGAACTTTATTCACTACAAAGCATTAAAATGACAAGAAAAAAATTGAACACTCGGCATCCTTGAGTTGGGTCTGTCAGGAGTTTAGGAACTTAAAAGCTCCATTCTTAATTTTCCCTGATTAGAAAGTAGCAGAGTTACAGTCGAAAGTCTTTCTCTTCTCTAAGCAGACATAGCTTTACTCGCTATGATGAGAACATGATATTACAGTCACCCATAAAGTGATATCCAGAAGTGCAAAATGAAGTGAAGATCAAGGATAATCCTTTTTCATGATTTTGTTTTAACCATTTACTCTCACTAGATTTCTGAACGAAAGGGAAAAGGCAATCCAGGCCTGTACTTTTGGTGATCAACAGAAACAATTGTGATCCTTTAAATAATAGGTTTTAGAAATATTCCAATATAAACAACATAACATTGATAAAATTGACGCCACGCTGTAATTTCAACAAAAAATAGTTCAACTACACTCAAATGAGCTAAATTCAAAATGCCACTAAATTTGTTTGCCCACAGTGGGAGACGTATAATTGAATATTCTCAGTATATCAGTATATCAAACGGGCAGAAAAGTTGTATAGAATACCTCAGTTCTTATGAAATAATGGTGCTCCTCTTTTCCTTTAATCCCCCTTCTTTCAGAAGGAAAAAATGGGACATTTTCTTGCAAATTGCAAGCACGTGATCAATTCATCATGCATTACTGCATCAGGGCATAAACTTAATGAGCATCATGACTAACAGGCCTTGACCATTTACTATAGCAATGGAAGGTCTACAATTCTGTAACTTGTCACAGCATGGCATACTCCAAAGCTGAAATACGGAGCTAACTGCCTCCTTTGATACATGCAGCAAATTGAGATAGAATTAGTGTTCAAAATTCGCAATTTGATCCATAATCCACTCTTCCAGCCTTGAGTACCCATGCTTCTTACAAGCATCACGGGCTATGGTTAACATTGGAATTGAAGGCTCAATAGGCATTGTCTTCAAAAAGTTCTCAAGTTCATCCATGTATCCATGTCGGCTGTAAAGTTCAATCATGCAGTTATAGTGCTCCAACCGAGGCAAGATACTGAATTCATTGCTCATTGACCTGAAGCATTGGGTACCAAACTCAACAAGGCCTTCTTCTATACAAGCAAACAGGATACCCTGAATGGTCACATGGTCTGGTTGGGTGCCTTCCTCCACCATTATCCTAAACAATTCAAGGGCTTCTTGACCCCTATGATTGTACGAGCACCCAAATATTATGTGATTCCAAAGGAACACATCCCTAGAATCTGCTCCTTTAAAAACCTCAAAAGCATTCTCAAGAGAACGAGATCTAGAATACATGCATATCAAAGCAGTTACAATAATAGTATCCATCTCAATTTTATGTCTAATTATATATCCATGAATTTGTTTGCCATAGTGAATTGCAGAGGCATCTGCACAAGCCGTCAAAAGGGTTGCAATCATATATTTAGTTGGTTTTATCTCCCACTGCATCTCTAAAAATATTGTTAAGGCTTGCTCACCTAATTGATGCTGAGCATAGCTAGTCAACAAAGCATTCCAAGAAACCATGTCACGCCCGTAACTCATTTGACTAAACCAAACTCTGGCACAATTCAACATCCCACATTTACCATACATGTCAAGAAGGGCATTGCTGACCATAAGGTTGGTTTGGAATCCACGTCGATAGATATAACCATGAATTTGCTTCCCCATTTCATGATTTGAAAGTCCAGCAGACAAGTTTAACATCAAGCTAAGAGTGACATGATCCAATGCGTTAGTTTCATTAAGCATCAAATACACAAAATCCAATGCCTCTGACCATTCAGAGTAACGGGTATATCCTGCAAGCATGGAATTCCATGAGATCACGTTACGTTCAGGCATCTCATTAAAAAATTTCCTTGCCTCTTGTGTTTTTCCACTCATCGCATACCCTGATACAATTGAAGTCCAAGTGACCAAATCCTTTGAGCCAAGCTGATCAAAAATCCTAGAACCATCATCTAGTTCACCACACTTCACATACATGTTAATAAGAGAGCTTGAAACAATATCATCCTCTTGAAAACCCAGTTTAGTAATAACTCCATGTATTTGCATCCCCTCCTTTAGTGCAGATATGCTCGAACAAGCGACAAGAGCATTTGAGAGTGTAAAGTTGAATGGCTTGATTTCGGTGGAGAGCATCCGTGAAAACATGACAATGGCTTCCTGACCATCACCATTATCCAGATACCGTCTCACAATCACATTCCAGGTGATGGCATTAGGATATTGGATCTCATTAAACATTCTACGGGCATCACACATAACCTGACACTTGGCATAAACATCAACAAGAGAACTCCCTAGAATTACATTGCGATCACAACCATATTTTGTTATGAGCCCGTGAATTTGCCGTGCAAGATGAAGCTCAGATACCGCAGCACAAGAGCCAAGAATGCTAGCAAATGTGATTTTATTTGCATAAATTCCCAACTTATTCATGCATTGGAATAATGACAATGCCTCATCTGGGTAACCCCCTTGCGCATAGGCCGTGATCATTGCATTCCAAGACCCTCCATCTCTTTGTGGCATTTCCTCAAACAGCTCCCTGGCATCATTCAAAGAACCGCATTTACCGTACGTTTCTATTGCCCGGTTAAGAAGAAAAACCGGTGGGGTAGGAGAGAAGGTGACCAAATGAGACTCGACCTTCCGGGCCTCAACAATGGCTCGATGATAGGAACATATCTGGAACAGATGAGCATACAGGCAATACGGGAATTGTTCAGGGAAAGCGAAAAGTACGGACACGGCTTTTCGGAGGCGACCCGCTTTGAGGTAAGTGACGATTGAGTTGATTGCTTTTCGAACACTTGGGGGTTCAGCTTGGGCCTTGAGGTTTCTGTTGTGAAGGAATTGGCTGAGTACAGAGGCAAAAGTCTCACCCATGCAACAGACAGCGATGGCTTGATACTCAAATTTGCAAGACTCAGAACTTTAAATGTAAAAATCCAATTTCCCATGGCATGTTACTCTATGGGGCTTGAACAGCTTCCATCGTATTCTCTCTGTGGTTCCAACTTCCTCAACACACGATCGCAACTAAACAGAAGAAACTCTCAACGAAAATGCCATAACACTAGTTCCTCTAACTGAGTATTTCTCGGGCCCCAAAAACCCGAAGCTTTGCATCGTCCTACTCTACATCAAATCCTGACGCTTTCTTCCCAAGTTATCTCCTGCTGTCTTGTATCCAAAACATTTTTCGTAATGATTAAGGGTTTTTTTATTTCTTTTTTCAAAATAATTTTTTATTTAAAAAAAACATTGTTTGATAATTTGTTTTTAATAAGCTGTTTTAAAATCTACAAACAACAATAATTTTTAAAAATGAAAATTTTTTCTTTTTTTTTTATATTTTGTTTTGAAAAATTAAAGAAGTCTTCTTTTCTTCTTGTCTGCTGCGGCCCACCATGTGGCTACAACCACCGCTTGCCCAATATAATTTTTTTAAAATTTTTAAAAATAATTATCCAAACATATTGGTTTTTTTTTATTTTTAAAATTTGTTTTAAGAAATAATTTTATAAAATTGTTTTGAAAATAAGAGGGGAAAAAACAGAGAAGCCTACAAAGTCCGGTTTCTATCAGAAGCCTCCTTCTCAGCTTCTAGTCAAACGCACCGCTTAGAAATAAACACATCATGCATTCACCGACAATAGACAAACCATTACAGATTTCCTGCATATCCTGCATTTCAACATTGAACAATCGTCTATTACAGATTTGTCCAAACCTTTGTCAACAAAATTTAGCAGAATAATAATATTAGCAATAAGCAGCCCTAGTCTTATCCATTGACTGGATAAAAACAAACCAACGCATTTGAAAGCAAAATTTTAGCACAACTAAAAAACATTTTTACTAGAAACTGGAAAATATAATTCAAAACAAAAGCATAATTACTACAGAAAACTAACAAAGAAATGAAACATCATCTGCATTTAGACAGAGTAAGAAGAATGGGGCAGCCATTAACATAGACGGAGATTAAAGCCAATTAATAACCATCGCCTTCTAATCAGACACATGACTTCGCATGCCAAAGAAGAAGTCAAAATCATGGACAAAAATCTTTGCTTTTCTAATCAAATGTGTCAGCTTATCCAACTACACTAACTTTTTTCCCCGTACTAAAGCCACCATCGATGGGCAACATGGTGCCTCCATTGACGATAAAGCTACGAAGCTTCTCCTTCTCCTAGAATGTCACGACAACCTACATTGAAGAAAGGGAATTGCCAGAGAAAATAAGTTTATTTGAAATAATTTATAAATAACTTTTTAATTATAATTTACGAAATAATACGTAAAAAAAATTTTATCTCAACTTATATTACATAAAAAGTACTTATAAATGATTTTAACGGTAATCTCAAACAGGGCCAACATAGCCGCTGCTTCTGCTGCTACGAGAAGGAACGTTGCGGTGTGTGAGATTGCTCTTGCGCTCTCGCCCTGAGGAAAAAGGGAAAAGATTTGAATTTGAAGCTGGCTATGGCATTTTCCTCACCGTTTCGAAGCTCTGTTCTAATGGACTGGCCTGCGCTTCATATGGCTTCGGGCTAAGCTTCTCTCCACCGCTGCGGATAAACGGCAATCGTTTGGAATATTTTTGTGAAACGCTGAGGAAATGATTCTCGTGGCTCTACTTTCCCGAATATACCATTTACTTCTATTCATACAATTTTGCAACATGCTCGCTCCTCCCAAACACAACAATATTAATACTCCAATAAAAATTTACGCAGGGATTTTCCAAATCAACTCAATAATACAGCACAAGAACCAAATTCCTCTTTTACACCAGTCCACAAACCAATTTAGAAACATTTAACCATCTTAATTTAATTCAATTCTTCTACAAGATTGCATGTCTCAGATTAACTCATACAATAAACATCACACTTAACCAATCAACAATTCATATAACTCTTAAGTATCCGAATAGCTTCCAGGATTAATAACAACACCTTTATTTTCTTGTTCCATTAGTAGCCAAGCAACTTCAAGCACCCTTGCGTCAACACGCAGTGACACATGTTAACTTCTCAACATTATTAACTTGACACATAATTAAATTCCATAATTCTCTTTTGCAATCATCAAAATTTTAATACAATACAAATCCAAATAAATTTCATAATCTCATGTCTAAACTAAACAAAATCTCCAAGTCTCATTCTTCTTTCGCGCAGTTCGTCAAACACCTTATTGGCATTCAACTTAACTCAACAACCAAACATCTTAACCGGCAAGCAAGCAGCCATAAATTATTGCTAACCCCTTAAATTTTAATTTTCGCTTTCAAACATTTCATCAAAGACCTATCATGCATCAAAATTCAAGTTAACAAAACAAGTTTCTTTTTCCTGAACTTGTAGCAATGACCCATTCAATCCTCACCTCCCTAACTCAAGAATTCTACCAAAGCAGCCACAATAAAAGCGGAAAATTTTAATCTTACCACTAGAAGATTAAAAAAACCAAAGAACTAATGGAACAAGGGGCTGAAATCCATACATCTGCACACACAGCCGCAGACAAGCAAGACGGACGAGTCCAAAACGCAACAGCAAGAGGAGTGAGACTCACCTAGACTCACACTTCAGTCCTGCACATCACAAGATCAAGGAGGAGGAGAAGAAAGCGACGCACGGCTCCCCCTGACTCAGGACGGCATCAGTTGAGGAGGAAGAGAAGAAAGAAAACAAGGGTCATCGCAAAAAGTAAAGAGACGGCGGCGGACGGACGGATGGATAGCGGCCCACACACCATCGGCGAATATGGAAACTGCCAAACTGGGGAGGATGAAGGAAGGAAGAACGATTTGGGAATTTCACGTTTCAGAAGCCTCCAAGTTTCCTACCCCTCAGAGCAATGAACAGTTCAGAAAATTTTTTTTAAAAAAAATTGCTAACAGAAAAAATAAAAATTTTAATACAAACTTGAATCTTCAGACTTTACTAAGGGTAGTTTTGTAATTTAATATGTGAAGAAAAATAAAAATTTCCTTTTCAACAAAGCCAGGATTCAGAGGAGCTACCTCATGCATGATGAACAACAACCTCCGTTGTCACCCCACCCACCAACTTCTCTTGATCAATAAGCTACCGTAAGGAAAGGATGACTCACTGCAATTATTTCTTTCACATTCTTGAGTCATGATAATGCCCCCCTAACTTAGAATTCTACTATTTGGAATGCACCTCTAATTCATTCTTTATATTCTCATGAAATGGTGGATGTCATTCTTGCCACATTTCATTTTAAATCATTCTGATGGTTTGTATTGGAGTAGAAATATCTCGAGAATTTATAAAATTAAAGATAGGATTAGTTATATTCAGACTCGAATAAGTAGAACTGATCATTTTTGAAAATTCTAGTGAAAAATTAATCTTTCATTTACACAATTGCTTTTCATTTGGAACCTATTGTATAATGCAGTTCCTTCATGTCATATGTTGGAGGCTCACCATATAAATACTCCTGGCATGTGTCTTTTTGGAGGCATGGAAGAAGAGATTTTGGAGCACTCATTCATCTTTTATCCTCTATTAAGGACTTTTTATCGTTTGGCTGCTTTTCTATTAGAATTACACGAATAGATATTTTTCGAGTTTAAAAGCTGGTTAAAGGATACATTGTTCTATCTTCACAATGATGGACAATTGTCTCTAGTCTGTGGCATAATTTGTCTTCTTAACACCGTTTAGAAGAAAAGAAATGCGTCTCTTCATAGAGGTATATTACCTTATCCTCAAGAAATTATTTATGAAGTTCAAGTTTCCAATCCTTCTTGAATCCAATAGCCTCATATAGTGCTTCACTTTGGGTCTGTTTGTTTCAGCGTTTCAATGGGAGAAAAGTAGCTTATTGAGCCAAAACGTACAATTGTTCAAGTGGGATGAAAATTGGTGTGTTTGTGATGGCGTTGGAGCAATTCAGCTTTTGGATGAAAAGCCATCATAAACCATAAGTAAAAATTTGAAGCTTATGACTTTTTGGAAAAGTGGAGAGAGAAGATTGGGGAAAAAAAAAAAGTTGGAGCCCATGCCTTTAAAAGAATTTATCTTAAATCATACTCCCTCCGTTCCTTATTACAAGAGACATTTGATGCTCATGGCATGTTTCTATATATAAGAGACACTTACAAGTTGTTTCTACTTTTTTGTGTTGATTTACTATTTTACCCATATTTATTATCTCCAACTCACACTCTCTCTCCCTCCCACTTCTCTTTCTTTTAATAATTTAATTGTTCTCTCTCATGCTCTCTCTCCTTATTAATGAGGGCATTTTTGGAAAAAAATTATACTTTTTACACATTAATTGTTCTTAACTAATTTTAACTGTTTTTTTGATCAGCGTACTTTGGTTATTTGTCTCTTATAATAAAGAACGGAGGGAGTATTATACTATTCAAACTTAGACTTATATTCTTTCTAGTACAGAATATAAGCATCAAAATTTTCATATTAGTATAATATATATACACTAATTATTAATATAAGAGCTAAATAACTAATTTGTGAATATTTAAAAAAATTAATTAAATTAATTATCACTTCATTATTGTTCATTTTAAATCTTACGAAATAGGCATAGTTACGACTTCTAAATACAAGTGTATATGGTATACATGTTTTGTGCAATAATCGTCATTCATAACTTTATAAGGAAACATTCAAACTCTGACACTTTTTTTTTTTATCATGTTTCACTTTATATTTAAAATATTTTTTATGATTTTTTTAAAATTTTAAAATTTAATTCACTCGTTAAAATTGATTTCTTCATAATAAATTATTTTAATTTCATTGTATTATGTGAAATTATTTTTTTTATCATGTTCTATTATTTATTAAAACTCATACCTATTTTGGTTATTTCACAACCAAACTTACTTTTACTTAACTATAATCCAAACAAGCTTTTACCAATCTCATTTTTGCAAACTAGCTTTTTGAACTCCAATCCAAATACAATTCAGCTTATCCAATTTAACTTTTATCAACTTCACTTTTTCATAAGTTATTTTTTCAATAAGCTACTTTTTCAATCACTAATCCAAACGAACCCAGATAGATGATGTCATTACATTCATGGCCTAACCATAAGGATTGGAATATTTTCCTAAATAAATTTAAAAAAAGAAAATCAAGGAATCATTACTGTCATGGAGTCATCTGCTCTCTAGGCTGCCTCTTGAAGGATTTTGTGGAGATGCAAATATGAAGTTGGTTCAATTTTTTTAAACAAGTGTCTTCTTACACCCTCTTCATCTATTCACAATAACTTTCTTAATGCAATTTCAAGACTTACGCTATCAATCTCTTGCATCAGTGAAAAATTCATTCTCATCCCCACCTCCCAACAAGCTTTAACAGATATTGTTTAGTAGGACATTTTATCTTTTTTATCTGATTTCTCTAATTATACTGTTTATCCTGTTTCCTTGACGTCTTTTCATAGTTATCTAAATCAATTTATTTGCTCGTCATTTAGTTGTAACCTCTAAAAACGTCTTTTCTTCTACATTGTTTTGCCTTATTTCCCCAAAAAAAAAAACAAATCATGTATTCACCCTCACTAAGCTTAGCCTTTCTGTTTGAATTGACATTGTCCTTACCACCCACTTCTTGCTTTGTCACCGTGATTGGCTCTCCGTGGCTTGTCTTCATCTCATTCTTCCTCTTTCAAGACTCAAGTCACCCAACTCGTGCTACTCATGGAAGGTAAGGAGAAAGAGAGGAGAGAGGAGACTCACCCGTGAGGAAGGTCAGGAGTAAAAGAGGAGGGACTGGAGAGAGGAAAAAAATCGCGCACTGCTCTTCTATCATATGAATTGATGTGTGTTAAGAGAAGAAATGGAAGGGGGGTAGGATTTAATGGGTTATGTAGAGGAGGGTGAATAAAGAAAGTAGAATAAAAAAAAATAAAAAGTGAAGATTTTAATATACTGTGGGTATCACTTATGAGTTTTTCATAATTAAAATATGAATATTATATATATTAATTAAATCACATTATTATAGTTAAAAAATAAAATAAATTACTTAATTTTAACAAATGTAAGATCTTTCTAAAATACTGATATAACATTAGATTATACATCAACTTCTAAATTAGATAAATTAATTTGAAAAAAATGATAAATATAAAAGATAAAATAAAAATCTTATATTTAACATTAATAATAAACATAAAGGATAAAATAAAGATTTTATATTTAAGATTAAAACCAACTCTCTATAACGTGGGTGAAAATTACAAAAAAACAACTCCCAAACTATTATAAGCAAAGGATTAGTAAACAACTAAATTGTGAGTTACCACCAAGACTAGGCCAATCAAACCCATGAATTACTAGAGGCCATTACCCTTAATGCTTATGAGAAGTGGGTACTCCATTATCAACGGAGGCTGAATCTAGCGGAAAGGGCTAGGAAAAATGCTCACATTTAATACCTGACAGCGTCTCAAAAAAATTACCTCTAATTGGAGGATACCTGATCTTTAAAAAAAAAAAAAAAAAAGGGTCGTCCGGTTGCATGCATTTCAAAGAAGGTTATACAATTACATTACAAATCACACGAAACCATGACATCACTGCAGAGAAATATGATCACAGCCCCATCCCTTGCCATCCTGATCTTTATTCACTAAAATGAATGCATGTAAGATTCAAAATAGACGGGGGAAATTGGGTAGAAAATATAAGGACGTGAACTCTACACTCAGCCCCATTCTTTTATATCACTTTCTTTCTGAATATATGATGCATAATAGAAGAACCAATGCACTGATCCCGGATGATCTATTACAATGCAAACATATTCAAATAGAAGGGACGGGCTACATTTTAAACAAAAAACTGCCAATTGATCATAGATGCAGTATCTATTGCCAGATAGAAGGGACACTCTGCCTTCGAAGACCTTGAAGCAGTGAAGGAGTTCCTTATTTAGTATATGAATGCCTTTGAAGAGCTTCAAGGAACAAAGATGCTTCTTCTTCGGGATTTGAATTCTGAATTCTAAAGAGCTGAATTTTAATCCTATCAAAGTTCAGTGGCAACGCTAAAAGTGGGTTCAAACAGAGTCGAACTCACCAAAAGCTGTATTGGCTTGGCATTCTGCTAAAAGCTAAATTACTGTATCAAAGTTATATCCAAGAGCAAAAATCGCAAAGCAAAGGAAACTGTTTATTCAAGTATATGGTGCAGAAAGGGGGGAAAATGAGATTGAATTCTAAATTGAAGCATTTCTCAACTTATATCCCAATAAGCAACATGGGTTTCTACTCTTTTTCCCTTCATTTAATGTCAAAGCTCAGAACACTGTAGAAGTGCTCTACAGATCTTAAAACCCATAAACAAAGAGATTGAATTTTTAGTTTAATTTGTGTTCTAATTCTTCTTTTCCCCAACAGAAATAAAGGGAAAGAAGGAAAGAATCACTCACTAATCAAACAAACAGAGACTTAGGGTCCATGAGTGTTGCAGTAGAGGGCACCAATTGAAAAGGTCCCACAATTCCTTGAATCTGCACTAACATAAGATATCATTCTTGCAGTGGCCACAACACTGTGTAGAGGCATAAGCGACTGCACACATCCTAACTTGTACACTGAAGTTCTGTCAAAGATAGCATATGGATTGTGAGCACAAGACATAAATCTAACTTTCAGCAATTCATAATAGAAGAACCCCATAAACTGATCATGTACATGCATACACAAACATAGCTAACAACTATTAGGAATGAACATGAAATTGCTAAGAATGCTCACACGCCCACCTATACTAAGTAACAAGAATCTTTATATTTTAAAGGCAAAAAAGGGCACGTTACAAGAGATTTAAATGTAACAAACCATCCAAGAAATAACCTTAACACACTATGTACACGAACAAACAACCACAAAACTCCTATGCCCTATGTAGATGAACAAGTGACTTCAAAAACCCTGACTTCTGCTCTGAAGCTATCTAAAAGAAGAACTTCACTTAACTACACAAAGCATACCCCAAATTTCAGTAAATCATAGAAGTAATAAATAAACTGCAGACTCATGCATATATGCAAACACAGCTAACAACTAATTACACAATAATTGTATTACTATTTGCAGTTGATGTAATAAACAACTAAAAAACGGAAAAGGAAAAGGCAAGCATACTACCAGTAGCAGACAAATTTTTTTTCAAATCCTTGTTAACTCTGACGCTAGGAATTAGCAGATGCCTAGGGGAATGTAGTTCGCGCTTCTTGTACACTTCAGACCATGAAGAAAGACCAAGGGATTGGAGCTTTGGAACACAGGAATTACCTGCTAAACGAAGGGAATGAACGTTGAGACGGCATTGTTGTTGAGGCATTCCGAAGCGGAGAATGGCTTCCTGATTTAACGACGGATTTCAAGAAGGAGACAGGGGCCGTTCCGACCAGACGACGAGAGAAATTGGAATAATACGCCATCGCCGGGGCAATAAACATAAACAGTAACTAAATGCTGCTATCTTTGTCGCTCCAAACTTGAGAGGGCTTCCAAGGTTTTTTGTTTTTGTATTTTATTGGTTGTTAAAATAAGGGCCTTCAAGTTTATCTGGGCCTCAGGCTGAAGCTTCCCACGGCCATGTATTTAGCTTACAGGCTACAGAACCAATTAATCATGAATCAAGACAAGACCTCTTTACTTTGGTTCACCAGCCAACCAATACAAAATAGTTCTAAATATAAGACCCTTATACTGATAAATATAAAATCTTTATATACAATAGTATAAAGGTCTTATATTTAGAACCGAAAGAGTATTAACTAACTAACAACTAATAATATAACAAGCCAAAATTTAAATCCCTGCTAAAAGAAGTAGTTATATTTAGTGTCTAATAATATTTTGAATAAAATTGCTTTCAATAGGAGAATACATGTATTTAGAAAAATTTAAAAAAAAAATGTTAGCTAACTAATCTCATCTTAACATCTCCAATTATTTTAACTATAAGAATATCTTAGGAAACACAATTTGCATTAATTATAATTAACTTATTTTCTTAATTTTTTAATTTATTTAAATTAATTAAATATTTTTTATATTAAATATGAAAAGAAGTACTTTTTTTCAATAAAAGAAATAGTTTCATGTGATAAAAGAAGCATTCCCAAGCTTTTTCTGCCCCACATGGCCAGGAATAGACAGGTTTACTTGACGCTGGTGGATGGGAGGCACCTTAAGGAAAGAGATCCATAATGGAAGGGAGGGTAGTTGGGCCCATTTGGGACCCATTTAAGACTTTGCTTCTTGCAATTGTGGGGCTCTTTTGCTTAAGAGCCTTTCACTTATTGGGCCCATCAAACCGTAATATTTCAACGGCAATGGCTAGGCTGTTCCATCTGCCGATTGGGTGAGTGGAGTTTATTCTGACTTACTATAATAAAAAAAAAATTATTACTAACAGAGTTTAAGATGAGGTGAAAATGATTTGTAAACATAAAAAGATAGAGAATTTTAGTAAGGAAAGAGTTTTGAAAATTTTATCAATTTAATACATTTTCTGATATTTGAGAGAATGAGTTACAAATAACTTATAATAAAGACTAGAACAGTATTCTTCCGATCCTAATTTATAAATCACTTTATTTATAAAGCTTTTCCAATATAATTTAATAATTTTAAATTTTATTCTTATTTAATATATGCATTTTTCCAACCAAAAAAAAAAGTAACCATCCTGATAAAATGAGGATAAAACTGTACGATCATATGAAAAATCTAATGATATGAATGACTTATAAATATGACTAAATAAAATTTTTTCTCCCTTATTAGTAGGATTAGAAAAGTATATTTTACTGAAACCAAGAAAAATATTACATCTCATTAGTTTTTCTTAAAATTTAATAACCTTACAACTTTATTTGTATTTAACATATATTCTTTCCAACAAAAATACGAAATAATAACAATCAACCAAAAAGGCCCATGACACGTGTTATACAAGAAATTTAATGATGAAGTGGACTAAATATCATTGCAACTTGGGAATATAATTATTAATATTGCAACTTAAGATGAAGTGTGCGCATGTTTCACCCCTTATTTTATGATGCTATTTATTTTTTTATATGTGAAAAATCTGACTTCAACTTGCAGACAAAAGGATTACTTGCTTTGTGTGTGATTAATGTTTTATTAAAAAGGACTTTAGTTAGCCGTCAAAAGTCCAATCTTAATTAACTTTAATAAAGCCTTAATCATGCTTTGCTCAATGTGGTACTTGATCTGATAGTGAAAAGAATAAATAAAATATAGAAAAAAAGAAGATTCGGATCAACGTTGATGGAGAATCGTAGATCTTGAAAGAGACTCAAACTTTTCTTTTTATGACTTAAGACGACGTTTCAGATGTGGACACTCATCGGATCTTATAACTAATATTATATTTTTGAAGATATACACGAACCCTATACTTTTATATTACTCCTCTTATCCTAAATATAAGATCCTCATACACACTAATATAAAAGTTTTATATTTAGAACCAGAGGAGTATTTCTTAATATTAATTTAAATAATCCTCAATCATCAATATATATATATATAGACATAGTTCTCATTTAGTACTTATCAAGGCAATGAGCATTATATGTTCGTCGCTGTGATTAAGGGTGTGTTTGGGTGTCTCCCCAAACCATGGTTTGGAGAAAAAATGACCCAAACACCTATAAAAAAATCAAAACCATAGTTTTGGAAAAAGCATCTTGAATTTGTTTTTGGAAAAAATTGGAGAGTGTCATGCTTTTGAAAAAAATGTTATAAAATTTCATGTTTAAAATCTTTAAAGCAAATTAATATTTTTCTATTAGAAAAAATAATCATTTTTCTATAAACATATTTAATCTTATAATTTAAAAATATATATACATATTAATTATATTATCTTATATATTATTAATTATGTTGGTAAAAATTATTTTATCAACAATTTTATTCCTTCAAATCAAAATATATTATAAAATATATCCCTTATATAATTGTCATATTAACTTATGCCCTTTTTAGTAATTTGTACATGTAAAAAGTGTTTCTGATAACAATTATCCAAATACTCTCACTTCTCAAAATCATTTTTTTACAAAATCCATTCTTCAAAAAATCTATTCTCTCCAGAATCTATTCTCCAGAATCACTTTTCCAAACTACGATTTGGTTTCATCCAAACACACCCTAAATCTGAGACATCCAAAATCTAATTTGGACAGTACTAATTTAAAATTTTTAATCTACAATTATTTTAATGGTAATTTTTTAGGAACTGTAAATTATGAGATCCTCTTTATTTTAAATTATATATCAATTAAAATAAAAAATTATTTAAATATTTAAAGTGAATATGGACCATTCAAAATCAATTTGATGGTTCAAATTCATACTGATCTTTTTTATGAATATGGAATGTGCTCCTATGCGTGCGCATAAACGTATATGCGTTTGTACGCATTTTATTAGCAAAGTGCTGAAAACTAAAAAGGGTACAATCATGATTCAATTAGGATCAATAATTATAATTAAAATAATATAATGTGATTAAGCATATAAAATATTGATATGTAACCCCTAAAATAATAATATTTAAATGAAGAACATTAATGCATCAATAAAATGAGACATTAATGTATAAATCATATATGATCCAAAAAAACAAGGCTGCTAAAGCATAAATATGACAGATTATTATTTTCCTTTAAACTCAAAATCATGTTGATTTAGGTTCAACAAGGGAACAAAAAAATATAAAATCTACCTTGGTCCACCTGTACAAAAAATTTTATTAGATCCGCCAAAGAATTAGTTCAACAATTTATTGATCTGATTGACTGAACTAGGCTTTAATGCTGTGATTATAACAAGTGACTTTATACATTTACACGGTTGAATTAAGTAAAAGGGATTCAATTTCTCTTAAATAAAATTAAGAACTAAAGTATGCATTTAGTTTTTTAATTTTAAATAAGGTTTCAATTTGGTTCCTTAACTTAAAAAAATATTTTTTTAATTTTAAATGATGATTTTTTCTGTAATAATCATGGTTGTTTTGAAAATTAAAATTAACATGTTAGCATTTGAAAATGTTTTATCAACATTCTAGATCTCAATATCATAGAGCCTGTTTGGTTCAAAGAATCCATTGAAATGGAAATGAAGGGAAAAGAATGAAAAGGAAGAGAAAGGAAAATTGCTGGCTGAGTGAGTGTTTGGTTATCACTGGAATTGAAAATTGTTGAATGAAAAATATATGTTTGGTTGGATGAAAAGAGGTGGGAAAATAAACAAAACGACCGTATTGCCCTTGACGACATAATTTAATAATATTTATGTGAGTTTAGAAAAGCAAACACATCTTTTAAGTCCAACCAATATCCCCTGTGTGTGCCAAGAAGAGTGAAATAGGGGCAAAATGTGCCATGGAGAGAAGATAGCAGTAGTGGGGATCTAGAGGCAGCTAATGGAGTCATTATCGTGTAGATGTCCAAAGGTGGTCTGTGCACCATGAAGGTTTTTTTTTTTTTTTTCCCGTTTTGATAACGCAAGTGTATATTACAGGTAGTAGGGCTCGTGTGTGGATGGATAATGAAGATTCAACTCTTGTGTTAATTATCCGTGATATGCGACTTAGGAAAATGTTCATGAGAGGGTCAAGGCACATGCCAGGTTAATTGGTGTATATTGAAAATAAGATGGAAGATATGCTGCCAAGATGTGGGTTGAAGGGAAGCACTGACATACTCCCTCGCATAAGGAGCTTGAGGAAAGACTGGTCCATTGTGGTCGATATGCTTTATGGGCGTCCCCAAAATAGCTTTAAATGGAATCGCACCACCCATTATGCCATCAGCGATGAAGATGCATGGGATGCATATGTTCAAGTAATGAGTTTATTGGAGCAGACATAATTTCTGTGCATATTATGGCATGATTAAATAATAATTTGGTAATTTATTGATTTACAAGGGAATAGAGTGGCTGCCAAGTTCAGAAACAGGCCTTTCCCCCACTTTGTCAACCGATGTGTCGCTTAGAGAGATTAATACTTTACCTGAGAAAAAAAGGAATTGTCATGTAATGATGGTTCTATTTTGTGCTGTAAAATGTATGAAATTTTATGTAGGAGAAAGAGAACATTGGCTAATGTATTAAAAAGGTGAAGTGACTATGTAATTTAATTTGGGAGAATGAAATTTCATGAACTTATATTGTAATGAAGTTTGTTGCATTAACGTTATAAAATTGTTAGCTAAAATCATCAATCAATCATCAATCAATTATATTCTTAAAAACTTGTAATACCTAATTCGCTTAAAACGGGTCGGGTATGATATTATAAGATCTGAATATATTCAATTAATAATAAGATCTGAATAATATTTTGATTGGGATTTAGATATATTGAATTAAATGAGGAGCATCATTATTAAATGAGATTTTAATGGAAGCTCAAATGAA